GAACTTACTATATGAAAAGTTTAACCTTTTTAGCTTCTTTCTTTTTAGTTGGTGCCTTCTTGTATTCTGTTGAGTCAGAATCTGAAGAAATGATAATGGGTTTTTCCTGTGATTTTTTTGATATTTTCTTAGCTTGCTTGTTTTTATTGTTCTCTTTTTTTGAGTCTTTTGGCAAGTTATTTCCAAATTCTGTTTTGCTTGTTGACGCCTCATTTATATCAGAAATAAATTTGAGCGTTGACTCTTTAAATGGTTTTGTTGAGTCATTCTCTGAACCTGTAAGAAGATGAAGTTGTTGTTGACTGTTGATATTTTAACAAATTATTTTGATATAAAATATGTTATTACCTCTATGAATGGTGAATGGTTTAAAAGAAGATGTTTTGTAGGGCTGTTTTTCAGCTTTTCCTTTGTTTTTTTCTGCTTTAGAAAATTTTCTTGATTCATCTGAATCAGTCTATTAAAAGAAGAAAATACAATGTATTAGGTTTTAAAGCACTTGTTAGCTATGTAAGCTTTATACATAAATACATACATCCATTTCAGTGTTGGTTTTTGCCAACGTTTGACTTGGTTCTATTTCGTCACTTTCAGATGAAAACGACTCTGTTTTGATGTTATCCAAATTAATCTTTATTACTTCATCATCTTTTTCATCTGCGTCTGATTTGTCCTGTAAAGTTAAATATAAATTAGAAATTGACCTAGTTGTAAAAGTACAAAGGATTAACTGTAATCTTACCATTTTAACAGCAGTTGATAATATTGGGTTGGTTTTAATGCTGGTGAGGTTTCCTGCTGCTAATTGTTTGTAGTTAATTCTTTTGGATCTAGTGTTCATAACTCTGTAACAAAATTGGAATAAAGAATTAACATCAAGTACAAAAATTTATACTAATAATCTAGTAATTTTTATGTTTTTTCATGCCTTTCTAATCCATATTGGATAATGGTGACTGAAGAAAGAGTTGTATGTGCCATAATTTAAATTTGTGTTTGCTACAATCCAGTCAATTCCTGTGTTTTGATGAGTTGTAACAGTATTTTTGTTTTTGAGACGTAACTTGAATTTTTGGAACTTGTTTATCATGAAATTATTGGGACGTAGTTTTATACTATTAATGTTAAAGTCCCCAACTATAATGCATTGTTTTGCAAATTTATTTTTTAAAGCGTTGAAAAATTTCATCCACAGTTGTTGTGAAACCTTTGGTGAAGCATACAAAGCTATAACTGTTAATTTTGACAACTCTATGATACCAATGTCAATGCTGCTTTTGGCATCTGAGATAGTAAATGCCTCGCTTTTGGTTACTTCTTGGAGTAAGGATTTTCTGACATAAATTGAAATTCCTTTTGCTTTTCGCACATACCCGCAATCAGTTCTAGCTACTTCTTTAAAGTTTTTTAGTTGTATCATTTCATTTTTGGTTGACCATGTTTCTCCAAATAGAAGTATGTCACTTGTCATCAAATTTCTATCGTTTCTTACAAGATTTATATGTTTGCTGAGTGACTGAATGTTGTGATATATAATTTGAAGTTTGTTTGTTTTTTCACTTAAGAAATTGTACTTTAAAACAAGTTTTCTCTTCTTCCATGATTTTATCTCATGTCCTAGATGTGATGACTTTTTCAGTTTGGTTGGTATTGGAAATTTTCCAATTATGTACAATCCTTCTAAGCATACAGCTCTTGAACAACCAACATATAGAAGTTCTCTGCTCATTCTTCCTTTAATGTGGAGAACAACTTTTTGTAGAGTCTGTCCCTGGCTTTTATGAATAGTCAGTGCATGGGCTACAACTATTGGAAATTGTTTTCTATTAATTGTCAAATTAGAATTCTTCTTTGTCTGAATTGTTACTGCTATTGGTTCAATAGGAGTCCAATTATTAGGAATGTTCCAGTTTTTCATTTTTTTTTGTAAATTTTTTTCTAAGGATTTTTCCTACTTTGGCATCATCAAATCTTATCCATAAACGTAATGGTTTTTTCTTGTTGTTGATATCTGTGCCTTCATCAATTTTCATAAGTGTTCCTGTTGCACCATTACATAGACCATCTTCAGTGTTTACATTGTATGTCATCATATATTTGGCATTTACTTTTAATGGTAGACTTTTTGGAATTCCCATTGTTTGATGTGTCTTTTTTGTACTAATAGTATGAAGAAGTTGTCGATGAGCCAATTGAGATCCATTACCTCGAATGATGTCAGACGCTTCACATGTTATTAATTTTCCTTTTATTTTTGTCATGATTTTGTTATTGTATTCTTCAACATCATCATTTTTAGCGAATAAGTGAAATGCATTTGTCAATTTTTTTTTTCGGTAATTTTGTAAAACATCTAGAAGTAAATAGCTTCATATCTTGATTGGACAATTTCCCTTTTGCTAAATTGTTTAAAGCTGTCTGAAATTTAGCATTACTCGAGTTAGTTCAAATACTTCAAACTTTGGCCATAAGGTTTGGGAGAAAATTTCTTGGTATGGATTTCCAGCTTCTGGATGGTATAGAGCTTTAGCACAAACTGGCCTGAGTTGATGGAAGTCTCCAACAGCAATAACTGAGGTACCACCAAATGGTTTGTTGTTTTTCAATAAATGGCGGAGTCTTTGATCAATCATATCTAACATATGTTGCCCCACCATGGAAATTTCATCAATAATCAGAACCTTAAGGTTATGTATTTTGGATGCTAAAGTGTTTGAAACACTAGCAGAAAGTTCATTAATTTTTTTCTGATTTATGGGAAGCTTGAATAATGAATGTATTGTTTGGCCACCAATGTTAAAACTGGCTTTTCCAGTAGGAGCACATAACAATACTTTAGGATCCTCAGGATTTGTGTTGGGATCAGCGTTTAAGAGACGATGTAATGTCTGATATAAAGCATTAATAACCAATGATTTTCCAACACCTGCCCCTCCAGTTAAGAAATGAAGCATTTGTTCATTGGTTTTTTCAATTGTGTCACAAACATGTACCACATAATCTCGTTGTTCTTGATTAAGTTTAGCGAATAGATCTTGATATTCATTATTTTCTAAAGTTGTAGGAGATGTGAAACTTACGTGACTACTGTAGTCTTCATTAAATTCAAGCTGGATGTCAGCTGAATTGTACTTATCTTTAAAAGAAAAATCATCAAAATCAAAATGTGGTGTAGAAGTTTTGTTTTCACAATCCTCTTCGTTTTCCAATCTTTGTTCTGCATCTTCTAATGAACTAAGTAATGCTTTATCATCAAAAGCACTGAATTTATGTCTGATATTTAGTATCTGGTTCTTGTTTCTTGTGAAAATTGTTTCAAGGTCTTGTTCTAAAATATCAGATGTTTCATTTCTCCAAGGAAGATATAATGTTATTTGTTCTCTTAAGAAGTTTTCTGGGTCTATTTCATAATGGTAGTTTCTGAATCTAATTATTCTTGGTTGTCTTCTAGGAAAAATGTGGCCATCATTATTGAGTAGATTAATTGAATTTGTACCTGATTTTCCAGCATATCTATAATTTGCAGCAAATTCAGCAAGTGATAAGTTTTCTAAAGCTATTGGTCGATTAGCATAATGTTCAAAGAGCCCATTTTCATAAATATCTGTAGATTCCTCATTAAGCATTTCTAATTGATTTTGACTTTTTACCATATGAACTCTTTCATTAGGAGGAAAAGTGGGGATAAATACGCTTTCTTCACTAGATTTTGAAAGTGGTAGTTGCAATATGTTATAACACGCTTCTTGAATGCTTAATTCACTGTTATTATGGAAAGTATTGCTTATCTTGCGTAGCGATTCTTTTAGAGATTCATTGCCTTCTCTAATTTCCTGTAGTACATTACGCATAATTTTGCTTATTCCTCTGCATGCTTTGTTTATGTAGTCTATGATATAGCAAGCTGCTCCATATGCATCAAGTACAAATTGTAAATTCATATTGCTTCTCATTAATGTTAGTATCTTATGTGAATATTGTAGTATTATGGTAACATTAACCTAACCAGGTTACAGCAGAATACCCTCAGTCACGGCCACTAGTGATCACTATGGAAGCGACACCTACACTCAGACCCCTGAACCTTTAATTGTTTTACGATCGCCTTGTTCTTCTTGTTGTTATGCCAAACACTGAATAAATAGAGGCGCGAGCCTTTGACTCGTCGCCATTTACCACTCATG